CACAGAGTGGCGGGGTGCTGCGCGTAGGCAGTGCGCAGAAACCTGCGGGGCAAGGGGACCATCGCGTGATCTTTCATATGACAACATATTTCGTGTTTTTGTCACAGATATGACACTACTTTAATTTGTACGGCAGTCATTTTCATAAGACAAGCAACCCAACCATTAAACATTAAATTCACTAGATGCATGTGGTTTGTTGTGTCGACACTAAGGGAAGTGGAGAAACAGTGAAGTTCTACCACTAGTTGGCGGGGGTTGGAGTGGGGATGCCGTCCGGATCCTCGGGACGGTAAGTTAAGCAGTTTGCGTGGGTGTTGTGTGGAGGAGAAGTTTGGCTGGCGCAGGACACTCCGCTGGTTGGGTTTAGCTGGGCGTCGCGAGGGAGTGAGACAGAGACTAAAGGCTGGATCTTCGACATGGACAAGTCGAGCGACGGGGCCACGGACTACAGTGAAGGTACACCGCGACACCGGTGGTGGTTCAGGCGGCTTGCAACAAGTTCTTACACGACCACCACCCGGAACAAACAACATCGTGCCAACGACAGTCGGCGGCACTAAGCGTCTCATCTCGTCGCATCTCGCTCACACTGTGCCAGTGCTGAAGCTTAAACGTTGCGGACAAAGAGACGTTACAACCTTGTCAATAGTTAACTAAGTTCACCTAAGTCGACATTGAAGATTCTGTTCCAAAGTTTGACCCGACTCGGACGTACCGGTGTGATGTTGGTCGCGCCTCCTCGCACTTCCTGTAAAATACCCAAGCACTCAGTGACTCTGCACGTATCCATCCATTTTTCATACACTAAATCTTATTGTTAAAGCACGCACATTTTTCTTTTTAAACGTACGTATACCAAAGCACTCTCTATTGTAAACTTTGTTCGAGAGAGAGAGAGAGAATTGGAACAAATGGTGTGTGATATTGCCTTCAAAACTTTAATGAAATTTCGCAAGACAGAATAATAAGCAATCATTCCTGCAGAAGGTTAAAGTTGTAGGGGAACTACGAGTGTCTGTGCCGTTGTGTAACTTTCAAATTGTGAATCGCCCTGTAGAAACTGTTTGAAGTCAACGTCAAAAGTGCCATTCAGGCAGTGCAGTGACTAGTGGACACGATTTCCTCCCCTCCAGATTGTGCTAAATTCCCCTTCCCTGGCACTCCTGTAATTCCTTACCTTGCGACACCATTGTGCTCCATTAAGAATCAAGAAGGTGGCGAGGAGTAAAACAAGATTAGGCTGATAAAGTTATTGAGTTTCAAACAAGCGATGGCCGCTGGAATTGGTGGCGTCTTAGTCCTGGGAGCGGGCATAACCTTATTATTAGCTTTGCTCAGGTTCAGTGACGGCTCTCTGTTGCTGTCGAGCGCCGTACCAAGGCGACCGCATCTTAATCTGCTTGGGGGCGGCGAGGAAGATTCAGAACAGGAAACACAACATCAGGAAGAGGAAGTGGCCGCCGAGCGTTGGCTGCTGTACGAAACCGGGGGCAATGGCATTGTGGACCTAGAGGGTATTCCGCCCCCACAACACCGGCAGCACTCCCCTTCCATACAACAGCCGTTTGTGCTCCCTCCGCCGTGGAATAAACGTGACCAACACCCATTACGACCCTCGGGTTCCGCTGGGGAAGCCCCCGGGGAGACGCATCTAGCAATGGTAGAGACAGTTCCGGGCGCTGGGGGCGGCGGCGAAGGAGGAGGAGGGGGGTGGCCCCCGGATGTTCCGAAGGTCCTCGCGAACCACTTCATGCACCGGTCGTCTCGGGGGAATCGACCGTACGACGTTCCTCAGATAGGTGAGTGATGTCTGCTTTATCTCTTTGGGCAGTGCCAGCCATTGATCCGTCTTTCGTAGTGTAAATGTGTAACGGAAGGTCTGTGTCACACGCAGAACACACCTGTTACCGTGCTTTTGTGTACGCGCGGACTGCCTGCCGTCAGGCCTACCGAAACTACATTGAAGTTCCCGCCAAATCGTTTTCACATTCGATATTCTTTTGCGTGAAATGTTAAGGGATTTCAGGAAATGTTAGTTTCGGAAAAAATAAATGACGGCTAAATGCTTGAAACCATGTCCTGTGCCCCAGTGTAAAACTCTTGTAATTTCATAGTCCAGATCATGAAGCAAGCCTATCACAGATCGAGATATTATTATACTCGAAACAAATGTCTCTTAGCTCCAATACTATTTAATTGCTGTTAAAATGATGTTATTTTGAAATTCGTGTTTTGTCTCTATTATTTTTGGTACAGAATTTCCTGCTGTGGTATACATTCACACGACGAATTTCGCTTATTAAAGCAATTCTCTGTATTTAAACTAATTATTTGTGCTAACGTTGTTACCTTGGTGCGTTAGAGGTATGCAGTGTGTTTAAATTTGAAGATTTCCTTTAAAACATATTCAGTTATTTTGCTGTTTCTGCGAAAACGGAATCTACATTATTATGAACAGAAACACGCTCGGTTTTAATTTGCGGAATTGAAGAGCGCTGTCCCCAGATACGTTATATATCACTGTCGAACACAGGAAATAACAAACACGAAATGCGATGTGATCAGTCTTTTGTTTGCAGATCTATTACATAGCCGGCTGCAAGTTATAGGTTAGGTTTGGTGAAACTTCATTCGATTTAGTTGCAATGCCAGTATAAAAATAAGATTAACGAGATCTCTTGACTTTGGTAACTCATACGAAGCGTCATACAAATATAACTCTCTAAGTCATCCCATTATTTACGGCCAAAAATGAAATTATCGATTTAATTAGAGCTTTTCTTATTTGTCAATATAAATGCATCAAATATTCGTAATGTATGAAATAACTGATGTTTAGTAACATGGCTGTGTGATATCTAAGGAAGATTTAAAAAATGTGATTTTCACATAAATTTTGTGTGAGAGGGACAGAGTGTGTGTGTGTGTGTGTGTGTGTGGAGTAAAGATTTCTTATTATTTTGAAACACCTTGCGGCTATATTAATAATTATGGCTGGGATATCTTTAGCTCAATGAAAGACTTACCTCCAACCCCACGAGATGAAATAAAGTTGTTATATTCTGTGAATTTGGTAAAAAAGAAGACAAGTGAAATGTCAAGTATGCAGTGAAGTCAGGCACACTGAAGTTTTGTCGCGTAAGTTGCCGACAAGCCTTCAGAGAAGTGTGATTATTTGATCGTACCTGAATATCTTAATCACCATTATCAGTTGCGACGCGTAACATAACGGTCAAGTTCCTTTAATGTAACCACTTTCTACATTTATTTATCGCTGTTTCATTATTATTACTAAAACAAATTAACACAGCCCGTTACATTGTGAATTTATTTATACGTTACTGATGTAGGCCTGTATAAAGAAAGCTAACAAATGCTGTTTATTTGTCGCTATACATTCGTATTAGGAAGGGTCAGAGTTCGATTCCAAAGACGACTTTTCTGACTGAAACTTTTCGTTCCATTCCATACTTATTTCACACAAGTGTCAAAATAGCATCGTAATAATGTTGCAAGTTGTTCCCTACAACTGTACCTGTTAGTAATATTACCGTATTAACTGGGTCTTGACGTGCAACTTCTTGAAAATTTGTAAAAATCTGTGAACTATACGCGCGCATTTACAGTAAACACAGTTTCAAATGTTTTATTGGAAAAGTTAATGAAATATATTTAAAATTAAATTCATCTTTGACTTATCTCAATGTAAATGTTATTATAATTTATTAGATGATTATGAGTAGATGAAAAGTCGGTATTAATTAATA